CCAGGGTTGGGATACTGCAATTTTCAATTTCCAAACAATATAAATTTACTTCTAATAAAATTGTACTTCGTTCATTTATTGGCCTTTCTGGACTTTGAGTTAATTTAAATTTAGGATAGCTATACCTCATTTCTAGTTAAGTTTACAGGCAGGCGACAATTTTAGCTAATGTGAACAATTGTGTAACGTCAATACAGCAAGCCACTAAGCTTTTTTTTCCTTTGTTAATGATTGATTTAGCGATGATAAAGGACGTGCTGACACATGATGAACACCATGATGATACGCCTGTGACGCTGTCTGATTAATTGTCCCTTCTGCTTGCTGCGTCTGCTTTGCGTAGACTTAAGGTCCAACGAAGTAGTCTCGTTAAGCACAAAGTGATAGCCCAAGTTAGCATAGCGTGCTGGTTAGAATCTTGCTGCGATGGCCTCAGGCGAAGCGAGATGTCAATCATCCGAACTTGTTCGTTGCTCAACTCCCAGCCAGGTTGTAGAACTCTAGCCTCCTCTATACTGACAAAGCCTGGCAGATCGCCATGAGACGCGGGTGCCGAAAGTGAAGAGAGAGAGCGGCAGGAAACGAATGAGTGGACAGTCATGTAACGGGCGCCCCACTGCGGCGAGACGCCGAAACACACTTCTCCCGACCTATGTTATGTCTGCTCGTACTCCTCGCGTTCCTCGCGTTTCGTCGCCGCTGCAAAAGCCGTGCGCTCACTAGCAGCTTCCCCGAGAAATGCTCTGTGCTACCAGATCCTCGGGCTCCAAATCTGCGACCGGGCGGTCTATGGCTCCGTCGTCGAACTGCTCGGCTTTGTGAGTATATTGATGAGGCTATGGTAGAATTCGAGGTTATTCCGACGTGCGCTACCAAAATCGTCTCTGTGAATTAAAATCGCGATTGGCCAAACGTTTATCGTTGCGTCTTGATCTCGAATATTTTTTTATTATTTTATCGGCGGAAAGCCGCGCAATATTAGAGTGTCAAGTGCGACGACGTTTGTTAAAGAATGCGATCACCACAAGCATTTTATTCCTTTTTTTACACGTACCATCGAACAATTAACTTCTAGTTCGCAGCTGGTGATAAATTATCAGAGATTACAACTCATGACGTCACGGCGGGAAGAAAAAAAATGATTGTCGTGACGTAACGAACGGAAACCACAAGAGGGCGACACCCAAACGTTTAGGGCACAATAGCGGTGTTCATTGGAGCGCGCGAGCAACACCGTGGGGCCCCTCTGCTTGAACGGCTGCCCCTGGGACGTTGCGGAGTCTGGAGTTTAGGTTTCTTTGTGTGTACCACATTATAGACTGTATAGTGTGTCATGGGCACGGTAAAATAAAGATTTATTATTATTATTATTACCATCATCATCATCATCAACATCAATATTATTATTACTAGTAGTATTACCTGGAGAGGATTGTTTAGCTCTTCTCTTGCCAAACCGACAAATAACAAGGTATTGGATGGCAACAACATCGGATTATGGAGGTAAAGTTTTTTAACTGCTCAGACTTTTTATCTCTTCAACGTTTCTTTGATAAAGTCAGTGATAGCACTTTTTATATATTACATGTTAACATCAGAAGTAATCGAAAATATTGGGATGGAGTTTACACTAACAGTCAAAAATGCAACGTCAATATTTGACGTTTTTTTCTTACAGAAATCAATGTCAAAGACGTTTTCTAGAATGAGTTCCAGATACCATGGTATTTGGAACTCATTATAGGAAACGTCACATTGACATCAAGCTTTTCAGTACCCCACAAATATCACACAAAGATAGAAATTCCTAATCCTCGGCCAACCGGACGCGTGAAAAATTGTGCATTATTGCAATAATGCACAATTTTTAACACGTCCGGTTGGCCGAGGAGGAGGAATTGCTATCTTTGTGAGAAATTTGTGGGGTACTGAAAAGCTTGATGTCGATTTCGTTAATTGTAAGACACTCTTTATAAGGACATGGAATTCCAAATCGTCTTTACTTCTGCTAGCCTTCTACAGACCTCCTTCGGCTGATCCTTTGAACTTTTTGGAAGAGCTCAGGAGTAAGCTTCACGCTTTTCAATCCATGAATGACATCTGTTTGGTACGCGACTTCAACATCGAGACGCTTAAGCCAGTCAAGTCTCTCGTGTGCCACTATCTGAATTTATTGGCATATTTCGGTCTGGAGTGTTTGATCCTTGGCCCCAGACGAAAAGGACATTTAGGTGATCGTACTGTTAAATCATGCCTAGACCATATCAATGTACGCGCTCAGAACATAGCAACAAAATCGGCCATAATAGAGCAGAAGCTTGCTGACCATTACTATGTGGATTGCCAACTTGTATCGCAGCTCACTCGTAGGCCGCCGACGGCTGTAACAAAAAATATAGAAATGATTGATCGCGCGCGACTTGATAGGTTGGTACAAAAGTACGATTGGAATAATCTACAGCATATTCAAGACTTCAACGACGTCTAAACTAGGTTTAGTGAGCAGTTCCGCCTTTTAAGGTGGCAAGCTAGAAAAGTTATTACTGTGAGGCGGCGTCAAAGCGACCATGATTGGTTAACGGATGATATTCTGTCATCTATAAAATCTAAAGATGCTCTTTGGGCCCGTCGTCGCCAGTCTTCAAATAATGCCCAGTTTAAGGAAGAATTCAGCATTATGCGAAACTGCGTAAATGCGCTTATTCGTTCAGCGAAGAGGATATACTTCCGTGAAGCGTTTTTTAAAGCCCAATCAAATATTTCAGACATGGTGTTTGGTAAACCAGTTGCGAGGCAAAGGTGTGAAAAGGTTGATCGATGACACACTTGAAACAATTTTTGAACACGGCACTAAGAAATTGGTAGATTTTAATAAATTCTTTGCTACGTTATCCGGAGTAGCCCGTGACACTTCTCTATTTGCAAAAGGTGTTTCAGTTTCAAACTCCGCCTCGGCTTTCCCTCCCCAAATGACCGAGCCTGATCTTCGATGCCAGCTTTTCAGCTTCTAGGCAAACAATTCGCCTGGTGTAGATGGCATCAGTGCGGAGGATCTAAAGAGGAATTATGATTCCATAAAACATGTGGTCCTCTATATGCTAAATGGTTTTATTTCTTCCGGTTCAATCCCCGAAACTTTGAAGAGCGCACTAGTGAAGCCTCTATTTAAAGGAGGAGAACGGAACAAACTTGACAACTATTGCCCAATTTCAATTTTACCTTGCATAATACAAATATTGGAAAAACATATTCTCGAAACTATGACGGCATTCATTGATAGGCTTGACATTATTTCGCCTAGACAATATGGCTTCGTTAGTGGGTGTGGAACCCAGACGCTGTTAGAGAACTTCACAGATGAATTGCATCTCGCTTTCGAGAAGAATCAAGTCGCCTGCGCGCTCTTTATTGATGTTTCCAAGGCATTTGATACTATAAGTCATAGCATTCTGCTGAAAAAAATTATCCAACCTTAAATTCCGCGGTCCTTTTTTTTCTTTACTACAAAATTTTTTAACTGGTCGGGCATAAGTAGTTTCTATAGACCTTTTCTGGCTCCGTCGCATGGGCGCTGCCATCTTGGAATCACGTGACGCGGCCGCCATAAGGTGGCTTCAACTCGTCGCTCCATTCCCCCCTCCACGACTTGGCGAAGGCGTTGCATTCGCGTTTTTCGTCGCGTTTCATCGCGTTTCTCGCCTTATAGTAAATCGCCGCCCGATGTTTACATTTAGAACTTATTTGCATGCCATCATTATGTGGACAACGACATATGCAGATAATTTTGCAACCGATTTTCACCGTCGGCGTACCGGACACGCGTGAGGAGGGAGGAGATACAGAAATCAGCGTCAGACCTGGCGCATATTGAGCCCACTTATTTATAAGAACTGAAGTTTACACAGTGATAGTGGCGGAATATTCTAAATAAGTCTAGCGCAATGTATATGTATAATCGCGCATTTAGAATCTTAAGGAATTTAACCAAAATGCTACTCAGCATATGAAGCTATGTGTGTTTCCTGAAAGTCCCCACCCTGCCTTCATAAAAAATTTAAAATAATTGTTTTTGATTATGTAGCACATGTAAGATATACATGTGACTAGCGTTTAACTCACATTTTATCTGATGCTTGGGGTAATGGTAACGTCCACATCAAGCGATTTGTTTGTTCACGACATTACATTTAAATCTGATAAACGGTATTAATCGTTTCTGCAATAGAAACGTTCGCTTGATTTGTTTTTATATGAATTTAGAGAAACAGGATAATATGCTCGGTCACATATTTGCAGTCATTAAATGGTGTTAACATTTTTAACACAAAATTTAAATAATTAATTTTATTTATTTTAAACACTAAGACCCCTGGGAAATAACCTGTCACGGGCAGCTTGAGAGTGCCTAGGGCTCGCATTATGTGATGCCGAAAAGAAGCCGTCTATATGGAAATCACCCAAGCTCAGAGTTGTTGATTTTAAATCGCATCAGTTTGCATGGACATCTGTCATGAAGATTTATGAAGTCGTGCCTAGAATTCGACTTCAACCAAACGTATGAGAGATCACTTTCTCGCACCCTTGACTTTATTTGGCAAAGTTTATACAAAAAGAAAATTTCAGATTTCAATTGATGGCCCTCACTTATCTCATGAACCAAGCACGTGGTAATCAAATGTCAGTAAAAACAAATGGTTCATTTTTTTAACGCCAACGTTGTGAAATGCTGTTAGTAAGTGCTTTAGCAAGGTCAATCGTGAAAGGAATTTCCCACCTGATCTAGAACGGACTATCGAAACATATCTCGAGTGTATAGGTCGTGATGTGTAAAGCCAACAACAACGTTTATTCAGGAAGCGATTAGTTATATAGTACGACGCGGCTGCGCGGGAGCGCAGCACGTGTCAACGGTTTATTTGTTAATGAGATATGACATCGCGGTTTACATGCAGCGCGTGCGCGACTTGCACGATACATTTTCCTTTGTTTCATAAATAACATTAGGAGTTCCAATGGTAGATGGGATGCACATGGTTGAAATTGCTGTCGTATTGCAGGCGCTCTGGTTGACGGGTGTGCCTTGTGGATCGTCTTGGGACCGGCGTCAGGGGGTGGTCGTGCAAACCCGGCGTAGGCGGTCTTGTGGGCAAGGAGGCCGGTGTCGCTCTCAGTTCCTCGGTTGAATCCCCGCTGTCGGAGTCGTCACTTTCAGCAGTTTCTTGTTGAAGCGGTTCACGTGTTGCAAGAAGATGTTGCCGGTTGCGTCGCAGCAGCTTGTTGTCTTCGGTAACCACCCGATATGATCTTGGCGCGGCTGATCCCAAGACCCGAGCTCTACGAGTCCATGCTTTGTCTTTGTCTCTCACCCTCACGACTTCGCCTTTTTTGGGGTCGGGTAGGTTCTTGCCTCGGGTGTCGAGCTGCCGGTGTTTAAAAACACGCCTGCTGGGTTGATGGCTGAAGTCCGGGATTCGACTGCGTAGCCTCCTGCCATGTAACAGCTCTCCTGGCGAGCGACCATCCTCCAGGGGGGCAGATCGATAGCCCAGTAGCCCCAGCCAGAAGTCTTCATGGGCCTCCTCAGTTCTCTTCAAGATCCGCTTGACAATTTGCACCCCTTTCTCGGCGAGTCCGTTCGACCTGGGAAACTCTGGGCTCGACGTCACTGGATCCAAAAACAGCGAACTCATGAGACGAAAATTGGGGCCCGTTATCGCTGCAGACCTCTAGTGGAATTCTGTATCTTGCAAATATAGAGCTCAACTTAGCAATAACAGAACATGCCGTTGTGTCCGTCAGCTTTTCTACTTCCGGAAAGTTCGAATGCGCGTCAAATACACAAAGATGCGAACTTCCGCCATGCTGGAAAAGATCAACTCCCACTCTGTACCACGCATGATTCGGTGCTGGCCTTAATATGAGGAGCTCACTTTGCTGCTTGTACGTATACTTTCGGCATACTGAGCCCCCTTGTAGCAGAGTTTCGATGTCCGAGTTGAGTCCTGGCCAAAACACCAAACGTCGGGCTCTTGATTTGAACTGTTAATTCCCAAATGACCTTCATGAATACGTTGGAGCATCTCCGGTCTCATGGACTTCGGGACCACAACTTTGCTACCCTTGAATACTATTCCTTGAACCAGTGACAACTCAGACACAAAAGGTTTCAGCATGCCGTCAATGTCACCCTTGCCGTTCATGTAACAAATGACTGACTGCAGGTCTGCGTCCTTCGCGGTCGCCTCAGCAAGGCGATCAGGGGTTTTCTTGCTTACCAAGTCTGAGACGACGCTCACTGCGTGGACTTCCACGTCTTCCGTAGAGCCGGCGGTGTCCTTTGTGGTAACTGGTGACGACCTTGATAGCATGTCGGCCAGCAGTAGCAGTTTTCCTGGTACGAATTGAAGGGTATAATCATACATCAGTAAACGCAGAAAGAAACGCTGAAGTCTCGGGGGCATATCACCGATTCCTTTTGAGGCAATTGCTAACAGTGGACGGTGGTCGATTTCAATAGCGATCTTACGCCCGTACACGAAGTGATGAAACTTCTCGCAGCCGAACGTGATACCCATCGTTTTCTTTTCTATTTGCGAGTACCTCTGTTCTGCGTCAGTCATAACGCGTGATGCGTAGGCGACCGGCCGCCAGCTGTCACCATGACGCTGCAGAAGTGCAGACCCTAATCCATTCCTTGATGCATCTGACGAGATCTTCGTATCTCTTGCTGGATCAAAGATCACCAACACAGGCGTGCTGGTAAGCATTAGGCAGATACCTTTCCATTCTTTGGCGTGGTTGTCTGTCCATTCAAAAACTGTTCCTTTTTTTATGAGACTGCGCAGAAGTTCTGTTTTTCCTGCCAAATTCGGTAGGTACTTCCCAAAGTAATTTGCGACTCCGAGCATTCTATGCACTGCTGTCTTTTCTGTAGGGCACGACATCTCCCCCAGTGACGTGATCAATGCCGAGCTCGGCCTTATTCCTTCTTGACTTATGACGTCAACGAGAAATTCGATCTCAGTTTGCCCAAACTTGCATTTTGCGGCGTTGAATGTCAAACCCGCCTGACTGGCTAACTGCAGTGCGTTCTTGAGGCGTGAATCGTGCTCTTCTTTAGTGGATCCCCAGATCAAAATATCGTCAATGTATACGCGCACCCCTGGGGACGGATCAAATATCTCGCTTAGAGTTTTTTGGAACACCTCGGGTGCCGACGCAATCCCGAATGGAAGTCTCAAAAACTGGTAGCGACCAAAAGGCGTAGCGAACGTGCAAATAGCCGAGGTATCCTCATCCAAGGGAATTTGGTGAAACCCAGAGTTCGCGTCGAGGCGTGAAAAATATTTAGCTTCTGCTAGTTCGGCCTCAATGTCTTCCCGCTTAGGCATCTGATAGTGCTCGCGCTTTAGAAACTCGTTAAGGCGCCTGGGGTCCATACACACGCGTCCCGTATGGAAATCTTATATCTGCGCCATATCTGGCCATATCAAACTTTATATGATTATATACGGCCTATATACAAACTTATCTGGCGTATATACAGACTTATCTGGCGTATATGCAGCCTGATATGGCGTATATACAGACTTATTTGGCGTATATACAGCCTGATATGGCGTATATACAGACTTATCTGGCATATATACAGACTTATCTGGCGTATATACAGCCTGATGTGGTGTATATACAGACTAATCTGGCGTATATACAGACTCATCTGGCGGCCGGTTTTCAATATATTAAAAAGTTAAAAAAAGTAAAAAAGATTTCTTTGTTAGCAAACTCTGAATGACTCATTTTTCGCGAGCTAAGTGTACAAATAATTTAAACTTCAGCTTTGACAAGCTTAAGTTTGAGATTATTTGTGCTAGTTTTCACGAGTATTTCAATGTAGCTTAATTATTTCAAAGTGTTAACATTACGCCCGAATAGACAATTTGCTAAATCTCCCATGCGCCTCGGCCCGTACTCGAGGAATCATGCGGACGGTGTTTCTTCAGCTGCCTAGTGATCCAAACTTTCGAGCGATTCTATGGTTACACATATTTGAGTGTAATTCGGAGTCACAGGCTTGAACACGTTCCGTAAAGAACCCAAGTACCGGCCATACCAATTTTAAAATGTCCCGCCAATGTCTGTACTGTGCATTCCATCCAACCTTCAACCTCGATGAGCTGCAGACATATCTCTTACATTATTATCATTCTCGTACAGCTTCAAAGACGCTGGTATTAAGTTAGAAACGCTAAAAATGTCATAAACAGCTCCGCTGAATCCGAGCTAAATCCCAGTTTTGGTTGTTGTGATTTCTCGGCTTTTAAGTAATTCCTGCTAAAACAAGAATTACGAGAGTGATAATATGGTAAGAGATTTCGGCGGCTCAGCCTGGTTGAAGTTTTGACAGAATGCACAGTATCATATACGCAGCCATTGATGAGAAAATTTAAAAGTGATATGACAGGAACTTGAGCCCTATGGGAGGCTTGTTCAGGGTGACCACGAATTACACTCGAAACTGTGTAACCATGGAATTGGTCAAAACTAATGATCCCTAGGGAGCAGGACCACCGTTTCCATAACTCCTCGAGTGCGGGCCGGGGCACTTGGGAGAATTGTAGGCAATAAAAAGATATAAAGTGCTAATTTCAGGCTTGTGTCCTTTTGAAATGCTTGGCCAGATCTGGAATTCTCTTACTTAGCCAGATCTGGGGTTTCCATACCTAGCAAGGGGTATCAGGCTATATCTGGCATTATGAGGCTATATCTGGCAGATATACTATATCAGGTTATATGTGGCCAATTTTTGATATGGCCATATCTGAAATCTTCAAATCTGGCCAGATATAAATTTTTTGTAAGGGGTAGTTTTCCGTCTTTTTTTCGTACAATGACCAATGGACTTACCCAGTCCGTTGGCCCATTGACTTTGCGGATGATGTCTGCTCGTTCCATACGCTCCCGCTCCTCTGGAAGAGGCTCTCGCAGCGCCAGAGGTACTCGTCGTGCCGGTTCCTACCGGTGTTGCGTCATCTCGCAGAACCATCCGATACTGACGTGCCAGGCAGCCGGTACCCTGAAATAGCTGGTGGAATTCAGTCACTATTTTCTCGGTATTGCTGGTGTTCACAACACTCACCGAGCGCGACACAAGTCCCAGCGCCTCACTTGCTAGCAGTCCGAGTAGTGCCTGGCTGCCTTTTTGGACAATGAAGAAGTCGATGTCGCCGGACCGATTGTCCATGACCACTCGTAGAGTTGCAACCCCGATGTGCTTGATGGCGTCCCCGTTGTATGATCGAAGCACAGAGCCGCTTGGTTTCAAGTTCGCCTTGTCCCTGTACTTCCGACAGATCGAGTAAGGCAGCAGGTTAGCTTGGGAGCCCGTGTCCACCTTCAAGACGACTGGCTGGTCCGCCACCTTTGCGTGGATGATCCAGTCCGCATGGTTGCCGACGCTGTCTATCTTCAGGTCGAGGATGTCGAAGGTCTCGTGGTCTTCGCGTACTTCCTTCACTTGCGGCCCTTTCTTGCAGCAAGCCGCAAAATGGTTAGTACCTCTGCACAAGAAGCATGACCTTCCAAATGCCGGACACCGTCCTGGCTCGTGCGGCCGGTTGCACTCGGCACATTTGCACTGTTGCTTCTTTTTCACCAGCGCCACTTGTTTTTCCGCCTGCGCCCACACTTCGTTCTGCTGGGCGGATACTTCCGCTGCTTTACAGAGTTGTTCAGCATTGAGCAGCGTTAGATCTTTTTTTTTTAGCATTTTCTCTTTCAACTTTGAATTGTTTGTACCGAACACAATCTGATCCCGAATCATTGTGTCGGTCAACTGCGCGAAGTTACACCGCGTGCTTGTTTCCTGAATTCACGCAAAAAAATGCTCGAAAGGTTCTGCTTCAACTTGCGTTCTTGTTCGAAAGATGTACCTCTCGTAGACCTCATTCTGCTGTTGTCTACAGTACTCCTCAAACTTGAGTGCGACCGTCGCGTAATCCTCCTTATTCTCGCTTTCGGCAAACACAAAATTGTTGAATACCTCCAAAGCGTCATCCCCGGCTACACTCAGCAGGAGAGCGGTCTTGACCGATGTCGACCTTGGTTCTTTGGCTGGCTCCGTTGCCCTCAGAAAGAGCTCGAATTTCTGCTTGAACAGGTTCCAGTTTTTTCGCGATGTTCCCAGACAGCAGCAGTGGCTCCGGTGGTTTGAGTAGTTCCATAGCTACAGTGGCTGACGTCGTTATTTTGAGCTACCGCCGACGTGGACGGCATCCCACTTCTGACACCATGTATCAGTCGTGATGTGTCAAGCCAACAACAACGTTTATTCAGGAAGCGATTCGTTATATAGTACGATGCGGCTGCGCGGCGGCGCAGCACGTGTCAACAGTTTATTTGTTAACGAGACATGACATCGCGGTTTACGAGCAGCGCGTGCGTGACTTGCACGACACATCGAGTACTTAATTTTTTTTAAAGAAAGCAGCCCGAGACAATATCACTTATTTCTTAGAATATCTGCGTATTATAAGAGACAATATGAGTTTCTGAAGTTCGCAGAAAGTTGGTGTCCCCGAAAATCAGTCAGTGAACTTGCAACTTCGCGTGTTTTTAACGATTTAGGAGGTTTTTAATCTGGTTGAGGAGCTGCATT